GGAAAAATGTATTTCACCGCTAGTTATAGCTAGAGAGCTGAAAATTTCAGGAATAAAAGGTCTTGATTAGATATATATGTAATAAAATTTTCAGCTCTCTACGTAAAAGTAAAGTATGAAAAATACTATTGACACGTTATTTCCAATTACTATGGGGCACTCTTTATATTACATGTTGTACTCACTGAGATCTAAAAAATGGCAAATATCAGATTCGAAACGGTGACTCACACTTGGGGACCTTCCATCGTAAGTAACAGGTTTTCTCGAACTAGAAACATTGCAAGCGAAAAGTCTTCACTGGTTGCAGTTTGATAAAGTAAAATTAGTGTAGAAAAGTTTTCGATATAAAGAAGAACATGAACTTCTCAACTGGCAATGATATCGGAAAATTACGAATTAAACAAAATGATCAGACAAAAAAATCAGCCAGTACTTAGAACATGAAAAAATCTTTATATAAGTGTGAAAGATATTTTTTACTATCTCGCTACAGAACGTATCATAATTATTTTAAAGACGTAATATTCTAAAAGTCAATGCCTACATATGTTTGAAGCTTTCTATCTCATTGATAGACTCCACCAATTCAATAGAGCTCCATTTTCACGTGAAGTTTTCTAAAAACCAAGCTGATGATTTTTGTTTTGATTAAAGAAGATTCGAGAAGTCTCGATTGGCTTTTTCTTTCAGGGCTTGAATTTATATTTTAAGTTACGAAGCAATCTGAAAGAATAAAACCGAGATCAGAAAAATATACTGTCTATCGTCTAGAACACTGTTTGGGCTGAATAATAAAATCCGTGGTCTAGAAACTCATGATCATATTGGAAGTCAAAATAAATATCAACACTTACAAAAAACGCTTATAGCTCCTGAACAGAATGAGCTAGAAAGGTCGTCGTTGCATGGATCGACAGAGAAATGTATCCGCTATCTATTGAACAGGATGATCTATCTGAAATATTTGATAACAGTAGCCCATATAAATATGGGAATACATATAGTTTTGTATGCTTTATTATACTGCTTCTGCTATTTTATCATTATGATTTGTAACAGAGAGACTTGATACTCTTTACATTATTGTGAATTGTACAATGGAATTCAAATAATATTTTTTGCCAATGTCAGTAGAATGTCATACATTAATCTTATAGTAAGAATGTGGAGTTGGCCGGGTGAGACTCAGAAATTCTTGAGTCGCTTTCAAATCGTACATTTTTCAATTCTTTTTTTTTACTACTTCATGATATGAGTAGATGTTATTAACCTGTCTTGTTTCTTGTTGTAGTACGCAATTAAGAATGACTATATTTCATTAATGTCTGACCAATATATAATAAAAGTATTATTTTTCGAATATGCCATCTAAGATATACATTATCGAAAAGATTCAACTGTACATCAGCATTGTTTTTCATTACGAAGCAGGAACAAATATTCGACTAGCAAAGGATCCCAATTCTAGTGTGAGATTTTTTTGTTCGTCCACGTTCACTTGCTCTTTAGTCATCCAATCGATCCAATGTCCACTCTTTGGGATGTTTCGCACGGTATAATTCAATACCATCTTGGAGGAGAAATGACAAATAATGAATATATCCTTATTTCGACTGAAAGCTGGAATATAATTGTCGGAATCTTCGTGAAAAAACTCGATCGTTCCATGACGAAGTGATGTATTTGTTCGACGTAGATCAAAAAGTTGTTTAAAGGTATTGAACAAACACCGATTGCGATCTTGATTGAGCAAATCCCAATGCATGTCATAATGATTTGTCGTTCTAGACGGACGTATCGGTAGAATAAAATTCAAATTGATTCAACTTACTTGTTTTCATCTGTTTCTTCGAAAGATGAAGCATCACCGAGTTCATCACCTTGCCAAATAAGAGGAACTCCGACTGAAGTAGCTAGAAGGATGGCGGCCATATGCATACGAAGGAAGGCTTCATCATCGAAGATACAGTGATTATTGCCCACTCGAAAAAGAAGACGTTTATTGTCATGACAATCAGTGTAATTGACCACATTATTATTGGCAATGGCATATTTCATATCGTTTAAATCAACCTTGTCAGTAAGAGCATTTTCCAAATTGCCATAAAGTGCCTGAGTCCAACAGGCATCGACAGGACCATTCTTAGCTTTGGTAATGTAGAGATTTTCAGGGACAAACTCGGCTGTTGTGTAGAATGGCTGATTAGTGCGGACAGAAGTGCGAGCAACACGGTCAAGTTCATGCAGAATATTGAAATTGTCCATTTGTTTGGCTGAAAAAGAAAAACAAACAGAATATTTATTTGAAAGACAAGCATAATTTTTGGTTTTCGTCTGAGATTGCTTTGTTCGTAAGTTCATTGGTCAAATAAAATAAATAGAACGAACCAGCATCAAAACGAATTCCGTCGAGATGAAATTCGCCAACCCAATATCTTACGACATCCTTCATGTATACGACAGCTGGACTAACATCAAGTTGTTCGTCGTGAAATTCGTAATTGAATTCTGGACCCCAATAGTTTGGATCTACAGGAAAAATAAAACGTGTAGTCGTAAAAAATTTAAGACATACCATCAGGATGGTGTTTGCCCTGGTAGTACTGAAAAAGAAACAGAAAAGTTCGAAGTATATTTAGTCGGTCAAAGTTTTCGAAGGACAGATGTTGAGCAAACAATTTTTTAATTGGAATTAAACGTTCCAAAAGGAATGCAGCTCACTTATCGATGCAAAGATTACAAATAGAAAATGTTGCTGGTTAAAACGAAAAATTCAAAGCATGATGTCCTTAACAATTATGATGATTTCAGATTTGATTTTGAATAGAATCTGTGATGGATTTTCATGAAAAATTGGAAAAAGTTAATATCAAGGTGGATTGTAGTCAACATTTTCAATTTGAAAATATTCGAAACTCGAATACAGAGTCCGTTCTCATTTCAACGTTTTTTGTTGATTTTTTGCAATTCACGTGGAATGTTGTTGAGTTGTCATTTTGTTTTTTTGATATTCGTCTTCTGATAACATTTCTACAATAAAAATAGATGACTATAGATGTCGATTCTTCAAGTAGAGAATCTATAATTATTAAAGATTTGATTTATTTAGAGAAAGAATCTTTTAAATTTAATATAAACCATTAAAAAAAATCAGAATAGAAGTATAAAACTATTTATCATTCATTTGTTCATATGTCAATATAATTAATGTACGAAATCATGATTCTTTTCGATTCCCAATGGTCAGATGAGAATGTGGAAGAATAAATGAATATTAAAAAAAATATCCAAGTTTTTATTCCGTATAATAGAATAATAAAAAATAAGAGAAGAGATGAACATATTTTTTTTATCATTGCTTACTTTACAGTATAGAATTACAAGAAAGAAATATACAATGTATTCTATTTAAATATTAGCTATACATGATCTTCGATAGCTTCTTGAGCTCGTCGGTCACGGTCTGTGACAGGTCATTAACAGTTTACTAATGAAATATTAATTACAGATTAGTTCATTAGTTCATCCTTTAATTAACAAGTAACATTCATTAACAGTCGATTCGTTGGATTCTAGACTGAAGTAAAGATCTGACGACGGAAATTCACTTGTATCTGTCTATCTGTAACACAGTAGCCACATGATAACTATGGCACTGTTAATCAAAGAAATGGGTGTGGGTGAGCGTAAGTCATCCTTTCACAAGTACTCACACCCGCTTTCATATGAGATACGGCTTAACTTTTTTGTGTATAAGGCGATTGAGAAAATCAGAGCTCAAGTAAAAAACAATTTGTCGCCTTGCCGTCTTTGTAAGAATACGTTTTCAATCTTTTTGAAATTAACTTATGAAAAGGAAAGAATAGCCTATCTTTGTGTAGAACTTGACGCCCTTTCTATTGATGTCCTTGGAAAGAAATTTATGTGCATTCTTGATATGAAATCAGAGACTTTTGGCAAGAAAACAGAGATTTTTTTAACATGGTTTTTAGAAGAAAAAAAGTTTCCAAATACCTTTAGAGTACATTTTCGTAATTACTAAGAGCCTCAAAGTCTTTTGTCAAAATATCTATATTCTATGCAGCTTTTGATGGTCTATCCAATGGTATAGTTTAAATATATTTTAAATTGAATTGCATTACATTGAAGAGGTAAAAACTCATTCTTCGCGAGTTGCATAGTGATAATTTTGAGATTTAATTTTTCTACCATTTAATTTCTTAAACGGTAGGAAAGTTCAATTAGTTTTTGCAAATCATTTTTTTTAGCATGTAGCTAAGTGCCTCTTTCGAATGAAGTCAATAGTCGACTTTCTGACATGTGTCAACGTCAATAGCAATCGACTATTGAGGACAAAAAAGAATCGTAATGATATTCAAGTTTCATTTGATGACTGCGCAAAGTCATACACAAAACCCGTGCTTCTACAAGTGAAAAAATGATAGCGAAGCAGACAAAGATTCTCGTTGTTCGTCGTGCTTATATTGTCTGTCGAAATGGAAGTAAAAATTTCTCTTTTATTCAGTTAATTGAACTGTAATTTTTGCACAATTCTATGAGTGCAATCACAACTTTCTTGTTGATTTTGAATTCTTCGAATCCGTCTCTACACGACCATCGAACCACGCGCTAGTGTCTCGCCCAATGGTATCCATCCATCGAATGTTAGCTCGAATCTTTTCTATAGATGATAGAAAAGCTCGCTCGGCAATCGATAGATCGGTTGTGTTTGACATGAATTGTTGAACGATCTCCAACTCTTGCTGTGTATTCACATATTCAAGGACACTTTCGACAATGCCTGATAACGTGAAACTTACACCGCCAAATTTAGCAACAAGCTCTGTCCATTGTTGGCTAATAAAACGCCAAGTAAGCTTTTGTCCACCGGGTTGTAGACGAATATTGTTAATAAATCTCGATGCATCTTGAAGGCGAATATAATCATTGGCTAACGTCGTATTGAGCAATTGTTCAAGAAGAGTGATATTCTGTGTACATGTCAGAGCATAACCAAAACGATTCTTTTCGACTTGATCATTAGTTTGTTTATATAGTTCTCGCATGTGTTCATAATCCTCAGCTGTACCATTTTTGATTCCTTGACAATAGGCAACGGTTCGGATATCAGGAGCAATTGGATCAGCATTTGTATTTTCACGCCATTGACGATAATTTGCAACAGCGTCAGTAATACATGGATCATATCCATTGGCACAAAGATCTCTGATGATGAGAGCATGCAATTGACGCGTGAAATAGTCCAATGATTGTGGATCTGTACCTATCGACCAACCAGATGCATCATATCTAGCTTGTTCAAGTGTTTGTATGAACTTTTGCATATTTTGGTACGCGGCGCTTCCATCATCTTGACTAAACATTACCAATGGATATTGAATATTGACTGAAAACGTAGAATAGGGAACGTAGTCGGTTTCATTGATCAAATAGTTCGAAAGTTCTAATGCAAAAGTGATATTTAAATCACCTGATCGAGCTAAATTGAATGCATCGTCGATGACTTGTGCACGTGTGACACTTGAGAAAGAAGTATGATCAGTTTTCAGTCCGTTGATGAGTAATTTCCAATTGAATTCATCATAATTGACACGATAGAATCCAAATTCGTCGACATTGAATACAATCCAGTCGGTAGTCGGTACAACAATAGAAAGAATACAGGTCTGATTTGGAGCGAGCCAATCGAATGACGTTAAGCCTGTCGAAGTCATATAATTAAAAGGAATGTACCATTGAAATGGAAAGGATGTGAATGGATTCACATAGATTGATGTTTGATTTAATGCGTAAGGATCGAGTAAATATCGTTTTTGCGAGAGTGATATAGAACCATTGGTATTGTTACGTGTGACCGTGAGTAGAGGATATCCTTCTTGAAGAGTCCAGGTGTCCATAATTGTTTTGACGGTATGACCGGCAAGTACTGATACACTGGCGGCATCAGTTAGGAAGGCCCATAGTTGATCTTGTACAGCGTTACCATATTGAAAATGGTTCAAATAGTTGCTGATACCACGAAAGAAGATCGATTCATTGAGAACATTGTAGATCATGCGAACAATAGACGCACCTTTGTCATCTGAAGTACATAGAAGGTAACACATTCATGATAAAACAAGATACAGAGATCAATCAATGGAGTTTACATGAAATGGCATCGAATATTGAATTAATCTCGTCTGGATGAGTGACTTCGACACTAATTGGATGACTCGAATAGAGACTATCCATGACCAGAGCTCGATGAACGACCCCTAGAAGATAGGAAAGAGTTAATAAACGATATTCTTGGCTTTTCTTTGCAAAAAATTGATAAAATACTTGCTCACCACTGACAAATGTATCGAATGACTGAAATTCTGGATTCGAATGATTAAGACCGAGCACTTCAACCCATGAAGCAAAACCTTCGTTCAACCTTCGTAGAAATAGTCAAAGAAAAAAGATGCCATATCAAATCAATGAGTCTCTCATTTACCAAAGATCATTCCACCATTGAGGAGTGACAATATCGCCGAACCATTGATGAGCTAACTCGTGCGCTACAAATTCGCCCACTCGTCGTTTATCAGCCAGACTGCCAGTTACATTATTGTAGAGAAGAGCCGTCTCACGATACGTGATTAAACCCCAATTTTCCATGCCACCTATGTGTAGAAGAAGAGCTATAAACAATAAATGACTCGTCACAATTTCGAATACTTGCCAATAGCAAAATCGGGTAAAGCAAAGTGATCACATTTGCTGATTGGATATGAGATATTGTAGGATTGTTCATAGTAGGGTATTAGTTTTGTGCTCACTTCAAGCGCAAAATCGCCTTCACCATTAAGAATTGCTTCGGGTCGTCCACAGACATTGACTTCAATATTCGCCGATGTCACCCTCGAAACACATTCAAAGTCAGTCAGGACAAATGCAATAAGATATGTTGACATGGGTGGCGTTTCTTCGAAACGAGACAAAAAACGACCATCGGGTTGTTGTATGGGTCGACCACCGTCGAGCATGGCACCATTCGATCGAACGACAGTAAAACTGGGATCATGAGTAATTGAGATGTTAAATTTGGCTTTGAATACTGGTTCATCAAAACATGGAAATACTGTTCGAGCTATGGTCGGCTAGAAGAAATGAAATAGCAAACCGAAGAGAGAAAGAGAAGGGTATTTTCGCCGTTCTCCATTACCTGCATGTGAGTGGCTGCAATATTGTGCGTAATGATATCGCCTGTACTTGTATTTGAAATATTGTATCGACTTAAATAGAATCCAGCCATATCTCTACTCAGTTCGGTCGTATATTCTGTTTCAAACACATAGTCTTCATTCGTTGCACATCGTTCTCTCAATCGACAGATAAGTATTTCCGATTGTGATATCCATGTCCAATCGATGATTAAATTGTTCGATGTATCGCCATGTTTCAATGTTACCGAAGACATTTGTAATTGTTTTATATGAATTCGAAATTCATTGGTCGATCGATTACAACGGACAATAATACGTGTATGACCCATAAAAAGTGTGTCCGGTTCAGCATTGTTTGGATAAGTTGTACGAAGACGTACGTCAAAATTAAGTTCATATTGAGATGGAATCCAATCGAATGGAAGACGAATTGCCACTGTTCGATTCATGAACCATTCAGCTAAATTGGGCTTTGCCTTTTCAATCCATTGAATATTGGCACGAATACGTTCGATTATCGCTTGAAATTCGACAGCATTCTACATGAATCGATAGACACTTCTAAATGTAAAACAAAACTGATCGTGAACTCACTGCATCTATTGTCTGTTCGAAGAGTCGTTCAAATTCGTCCAATTGTTGTTCGGTACTGAATCGTGCTGTAACATCTTTAATAAGATCAACAAAACTGAATGATCCACCAAACTCTTTAAACAATTGCCGCCATCGAGAACGTACAAATGTCCAACATTCCGTTTCAGCAATGAAATTTCGACAGATTGCTCGTATGCCGGTGAGAGCATCTTGTCGTCGAATAATATTCAATTGAGAATTGACATGAATCTCGAGTAAATATCGAATGAGTTCTGTGTCACGTGTACATGCCAATGCCGATTGTATACTGGCTTTTTCTTGTGGATCGTTAGATTCTTGGTATTGACGAAGAAGAAATTGAAATTCAGCTCGACTACCTAAACGGACAATGGTACAATAGACAATAGAGCGATGATTGGGTTCGATCGAATTATTCGAAGGTTGATTGAACCATTGTTCGAAGAGCAATCGAGCATGTTGAACACAATCATCTAAATTGTAGCGACACGCCGTCGATACAATCAAACTTCGATGAAGTGTATCGAGCCATTTGTCAGTAGCATTCGATGGTTGTTGTTGCCAACCGAGTTGAGTATAGATGGGAAAGATGAGATCGATCATATACAATTGAAATTGTTCGTACAGAGTGAGATCCGAACTTTTCGATGCAATCATTTGTTCGATGTAGGAAAGGCCCGCAATAATACGCTCCCAAACGATGTATGCAGATTCGAAACGAACATAACTGAGTAGATCGAATACCAGTGATGTTTGTAGAATGTCTGTCAAGAACAAAAAGCAGATGATAACTATCAATTCAGTCGCACTTTACTTATACTCTTACTCGCTCGAGCCAAATTGAATACATCATCGACAAGACCTGCTCGCTCGATAATGGTCAATTTCTCGTGATCAGTTTTGAGTTGTTCAATGATCATCTTCCAATTTCGTACATCATAATTCGTACGATAGAATCCCAATAAATTCGGATTAGCTAAAAGCCATTCATTCGGTTTCACGTTTATACCCGTTGTCAGGTTCATCTGTGATCGATTGAACCACACGATGCTTGATGACAATGTTGACAAGAACTTGAATTGAAGTGGAATATACCACAGATACATGTGTGGCGATTGGGGCGGTTGTGCCTCTGAATCGAACAAGAACTGGTGTTGAGTCACTGTCACACTTTCAGTCGTATAATCGCGTATGACTTGAACATACGGATAACCCATTTGATTCGTCCACGTACTCATAATCGTGTCAAGACTTGTGTTACTTGGTAGTTGTATATTATCGTCGGACATTTGTTTGCCCAATGCTCGCCAGAGATCGATCTGTGTTGCAGTAGAATACAAATGACGTTCAAGGTATCGTGTAACACCTTTGTTAAAAGTCTCCTCGGACATAATATTTCCCATCATTCGAAGTAATGAAGAACCTTTCGAATAGGTAATGGTATCGAAAATATTTGTCAGTTGATCGTTCTGTGTAAGTTTCATGTTCACCGGATGTGAAAAGGATACAGCATCATCTTGCATGACGGCAAGCCATTGTTGAGCAATAAATTGTTGATATAAATCCCATGTTGGATGAACTTTATTTGTGCCGACGAATTGCATCCATTCTGCAAAACCTTCATTAAGCCATAAATCATCCCACCAAGCAGGTGAAACGAGATTACCAAACCATTGATGAGCGAGCTAGATGAAAAAAAAAAATTAACAGAAAGAACAAGGTCATGAAGGTAGATCTATCTCTCTACCAACGACAAAATGACTGCGAATCGCATTTTTCATGTAACTTTTGACAGAAACAAGATAGAGAGCTGCGGTTTTCACTATTGGAAAGAGGAAATTAAGACACATTGAATCATATGTTATAGACTTTTTGACTTGGTTTTTCTAAAGTTTTCAATTGAGCTTTTTGTGAAACAACGTTTTTGATAGATGACTACAAGGAATTTTCAACTATCTGTTATATATTGAACGCGACAATTGAAGATCTATAAAACTGTGCACCACTCAGATTCTGAGCTTCAATCGTTCAGGAGTTATAAGTATTCTACTCGGAACTAGAAGCCGATTTTTCTAACAGTTCCTGTGAAAAATAAAACTTTTTTTCTTTTTTTCTGTTTGATAAAAACTGTTTTTTCCCTACCCATTTTTGGAAAATGGACTTTAAAAGACTCAAAAAGCATATTTAGAAAAGTTTGTAAAATACGTTTCCATGCTTCTTTATCTCCGCTTTCCAACGGCGGAAACTGCAACTTCCTATCTTGTTTCTATCAAAAGTTACATAAAAAAATGTGATTCGCAGTCATTTTGTCGTTGGTAGTCTGTTTCACCTCATGAGCAATAACCAATGCCACACTTTGCTTGTTGGACGATGACGATGTACGATTGTTATAGAAAAGTAGTGTTTCACGATAAAGGATACATCCGAAATTTTCCATAGCACCTGAAAAAATAGAATGATGAATGGCAGATTTCTCTCAACTTTTTACCGGCATCAAAATCAGGTACAGCAATATGATCACATTTAGGGAGTGGATAATTAATTTGATATTGTTCTTCAAAATCACGAATACTCTGCGTTGCTATTTCAAGTGCATAATTCAAATCATCTTTTTTCTCTGATTGAGCACATACACTTGTTGTAATATTTTGGAAACGTCCCGTGTTACTTCGTGTCAAACAATCGAAATCAGCGACGACTAATGCCAATAAATACGAGCTCATTGGTATGGTTTTTTGAAATTGAGTCAATAGCCAACCATTCGATTGAGTCTCACTACTCTCAATAGGCATATTGCTCCATGCTCGATACTGCTGCTCATGTTCGACTGTTATTGTAAAAGTTGCTTTGAAAGTAGGTTCGTCAAAACATGGCAAAGCTCGTCGTGCTGCAATTGGTTCCATTTGTGAAGCAACTAAATATCGTCGGACTTTATCCGACGATCGTACATAAGAACTGATATAAAAACCATCAGTATCATTTTTTAGTTCGCCCACATAATTCAATGTTAGAATTGGTTGTTCGTTCACTTGAAGTGATCGATTGAGTATGATGGTGAAAAAGTCCAGATCTTGATTGAATGTTGTTAATATGACTGACACACCACCCGTTATCTCGATAGGTTCTCGCACCATAATGAAGCGTTTGTGTAAAACGATGCGATCAGTAGTGCGAGTCACATTGAGATGAATACAAACTCGTCCATCAAATATGGAAAAGCGAAGATTTTCATTTGTAATATTCAAATAGGGTTTGACATAGAGATCGTAGTGGATTGGAGCGACATCCAAAGGTAAACGATGGCTAGGAATGGATGATTCGTTGTTCGAACGAAAGAATGCGGTGATTGAACCGAGATTTGCTGTGTTCCATTCTATGTTTGCGTTGATTCTATCAATGGACAATTGAAACTGCCGAGATGCAGCACCTGAATGAATAGTAAAACGCATATTGAAAGAACAAATCCGAATCGTTTACCTTTATCAATAATCGAATCAGCAAATGTTTTGAATTCATCTCGTTGTCGAACGGTAACAAATCGACTTGATACAGCTTCGATAATTCCACCTAAAGTGTTATCTGATTTTCCCCATTTTTCAAAAAGTATTGACCAATAGTCACGAATCCAATTCCAGGCAATTCGATTTGCTGCCGGCGAACGAGCAACGTTTTCAATTGACAATAGTGAATCTTGATTACGAATGATGGATCCATTCGTCAAATGTTGATCGAGAAACCAAACAATCAGCGATGGATCTTTTGTGCAGGCGAGACCTTCGAGTAGATTCCATGTTTCACTGGCGATCGATTCTATTTGAAGACGAGCCCATAAAAAATTAAATTCAGATCGTGAACCTTCGCGAACAACTGTACAATAGACGATCGAACGTAGATTAGCCGGAATTTGATTGAGAGTAGGATTCAAATTCCAACGACGATAGGCACTGCGTGCTGCTTCAATGCATTCTGGATGACCGTAGTGACAAGCAGCCGATACAATGCTCGGTTGTAACAGAGTTCGAAGCCATTCGGTCGATTGGTCGTTCGTCACCCATCCGATCGTGTTGTAAATAGGAAGAACAAGTTCGAGAAAGTAACGTTGTACATCAATAAGAATATCGCGATCGGCAAGTAGTTCTTCTTGTTGATTCATCGCTGAAAGTGTCGCTATCCACGGAACAAAATCAGTTTCGCTCTTTAAATATCGAATCAGTTCGTAGGCATCCGTTGCATTGATAAGACCTGTGCGTGACAGAGCAAAGGTATCATCGATCAAAGCACCTCGAGTAATGGTCGGAATGCGTGTGTGATCCGTTTGAAGTTGAGTAACAATTAGGCGAAAATTTTGTGGGTCGTACTTCGTTCGATAGATGCCGAGATAACTCGGATTGGCCAAGACCCAATCTGAGTCTGCAGTAGTGATATTCAATGTTGCTGATGTATCATTGAGCCATACAACTTCACTTCCAGTCAATGACTGTGACTAGAAGAGAATAAGAAGAGAAATATTGTCTCTCAAAACGTGCAAAGTCTCGTGACTGATGAAAAAAAGATACGCTCAATTCCTTTCAGTTTAGTCTGGTACATCAACCATCTTCATTTACCTGAGGAAATGTTTGATCAAAGTATTTAAATGGAATCCACCATTTGTCTTGTTTTGTCGTCGTTGAAAAAAGGCTGAAGGGTCGTTGACTGATCACCATACGACCTCCGACTCTCTGTTGGCCCACTGTATTGTAAACTCGATTGACTTCAACAATCGGATAGCCTGCTTGCTTTGTCCATCCGTCCATAATCTGTTCAACGTCGATTGTATTGTTTGTAGCTTGACTCAAGTAAGTCCACAAATCTTGCTGCGTTGCCGAACTAAAACTTAATGCTTTCAAATAGGTTCGAACACCACGTTGAAATATTTCAGCGCCTAAAAACATCGACATCATACGGATGAGTGTTGCTCCCTTGTCATAAGTGATCGAATCGAACATTTGAAAAATATCTGCCGGATTTGTTGAATCAATACTGATTGGTCGTGATGTTGGGAACGAATCGGGTTCCATAAATGCAAAGATCTTTTCGACAACAAATTGTTCCTCTTGCATCCACAAAGGTTCGACAAAATCGGCTGCCAGTGTTTCCATGTAACTAGCAAAACCTTCTTTCAACCATCTATTTATTATCGAGAATTAGATGAAAAATATTGTAAAAAAAGAAGAACAAAGCGAGACTCACAGTTCACCCCACCAAGCTGGTGAGACCAAATTTCCAAACCATTGATGAGCTATTTCATGGGATATCACCGTTGTGATATATTGTTTCCGTGAAGCTGATACTGTTTTCTCATCGAAAAACAAGCCTATTTCACGGTAGATCAGCAAGCCTAGAAAGAGGGAAATTCGACTTCGTGTCATTGTTTGTTTCGATCAAAGGAAAATTCTATTTACCATAGTTTTCCATAGCACCTGCACCAAAATCGGGAACAGCAAAATGTTCAATTTTTGACAATGGATAATCACTATCAAAGTACGTATTGAAAAATCCCAATGTTTTGTAGGCTACTTCATCGGCATAGGCCAATTGTGGTAGAATATCGACACGTCCGCATACTCTCGATATGGTGTTGTTTGAACCGATAAGGCGATCTGGTCGACAGGCGAAATCGGATATGGGTGCCACAATGAGTGCCAATAGAAATGTGGACATTTTCAATGTCGGGGTAAAATGCGAAAGTGCTCGTCCATCACTGAGTATTTCGGTTCGGTCAATTGCTCCATTGGACCATACAGCATACGAAGGATCGTGTATAACACTAATTATAAAAATGGCCTTACGAGCAGGTTCATCAACGCACGGAAGAACACTTCGAGCATAGGTTGGCTCCATCTGAGATGTCATAAAGATGTGATTCTCTCCGTTGCTATCGACGTAGTCACTTATGTAGAGACCGTTCAAATCACGAGTAATGTCACCCTGATAGTCTATGCAAATTGTATAGGTGGTTTCCGGCGTAAAGGTAGACGAAAAATTGAGTATCATAAACTCGTTATAATCATCATAGAACCATGAAAGAAACATTGGTATTGAACTGGAGGATGAATTGATAATGCTTATAGTTGAATTGTCAATGGACAAGTCAGTCATGTGCAGAATCATTTGATTGGTAGCATTAGTGCAGATGAAGGTGTAGAGAAGATGCCCTGCAATAAAAGGAAAAATATCCTATCACAGTTAATATCATTAAGGTGATTTTCTATCGAACTAATGCCTGTTAAAAAAAGTAATGGTCGCAGATATTTTCGTAATAACTCAAGAATGGACAGAACTGCAGAGCTGCAGTTTTCATCAGTCGAAAGATGAGACATCGAGACGTCTTTTTCTTCAATATTATATAAGACGAAATCATTTTAAAATCAATCATTTCTACAAAATATTGGAAAAAATAGCATGAAAATAGTCTGTTATTCAGACGAAATTCTGTTTTTGATATGTGATTTAGATAGAGGGTTCGTAACAATGAATGTAGACTTGAAATCGAGTCATTATTGAAGGAACTTATATTGGAGAAAACAGTATTTTAGCATAAGAGTACCAAACAATCATCACTACCATCATCTCCTTGAAAAAAATTTCATGCATTCTTTTACGATGAACGTTTTATCACGGACGTTATTTCTTTTGAAAGTGTCGAATTCTCAGAAACCTTTCATTTCTCTTCTCAACTACATCCTATTTTTAAAAAAATTGATTTTACCACATCAAGTTTCTAGTCCACCTGAGAATCACATGTAAAAATTCTTTTCACCTGTAAATGTTTCATCGGTAAGATTAGGTGTAATGGTCAATTGATAGAATAGCTGTTGCAAATTGTCAGGAATGCGTTCGACAGGTGGCAAAGGAGAAACGGTGGTTGTTGCAGGCAGACTAACAGTCGTGGCTGATGTTGTCGTTGATCCATTTTCGGCACTATTTTGACTTTTTTGATTAACACCAAAATAAATGGTCAATACGAGTAGAACAATAAAAACAGCAGTAAACACGAGTACCACAGGCCAAAAGAGTTTCTTTGGCACGTTATAGGTACTTGTCCGATCAGGTTTTGCATCCAATCCGCCATTATCGAAAACTCGCATCTATATGATGATAGATATGTAATATTTGATAATATTTTTCTTACTATGAAACTCAAATCAAACTTCAGCAAATGGAAACCAAAGATCTCGGAGAACGCATGATGGAAGAGAGGCCTATTCTCATAACAATTCTCCTACTTTATGTAAGTACATTTTATCAACCCGTAGCCGTCTACGTTGCTTTCTTCCTGAGATACTGTGAACGTCGGACTGAGCAGGAAAGGAGTCCTACATGTAGTATGTTTGTTCTTCTCATTCAAGTTAAATAATAAGGAGGATAAAAGAACGAAACTAAATGACAGAACAAAAGTCAGTTATCTATAACGACTGCTCCAAAAATAGCGTTAATCGGAAGATGTTATAACTCGTATTAGAATTTAGTTTTCTCAGAACTTGTGTAATTTGAATATCTGTTAATAGCATGTTAAGTATGAATGGTTCTTTGAGATACAGATCAAGAAAAATTCAGGGAACTGTGAATATCGAACTCACTCTTTAGATATCCTTTTGAAGTAAACAATAAGTATGGAACTGAGCTCCTTGGTTATTGCTTGAGTTTCGATTATTTTTTCAGCTCCCAAAAATTTGGAGAGGCTTCTAAGTGATGAGCAGGTTTTATGTGATACTATTAGCGATTATTAGACATTGATGTGCTATCATAATATTGGTTGAGAATCATTATCGAAACTTAGGTCAACAAGAAAAACTAATCCTTCAAGCAGCATTGATTGTTAAGGATATCAAAAACAATAACATCTATCAACCATTTAATGGCATTCAAATCATTATTTGACATTTAGTAGTTTCTATAGGGACTAGTAATTCTATTTGCCGGATGTCCCAAAAGTCTATTCGGGATAAGTTTTTCGTTTATCTTTGCTGTTTCATTTGATATAATCAACTATTTTTCTATAAATGATAGACAAATACATCGAGTTTTTATTTATACGAACAAATTTCAAAAGCACTGGTCAAGGGTATCATCTTTGATTGGCATACAAAAATTTAACCTTTCTTCTATTTCCAAAAAAAAGCATTAAACAACATTTCTTTCTTAATTGCTTCGATTTCTTGACGTATTTTAATCTTTAAATTGTTGAGATCTTTTATATGAGTTTTATATATATTTGTCTTGATAAGACTCCATAAAAAGAAATCTAACGGCATCAAATCCGCTGATCGTGGAATCCACGAGATTGGTCTACCTATTCCTATTCAGCGACCATTAAACTTGTCATTCAACCAGAAGCAAACTATCTTCGAGAAATGGACTGGCATCCCATCCTCTTCAAATATGATCTTGTTGGTAATTCTTTTAGTCTGTAAAAATGTATTAAAGAAATTTTCGAGCATATCGAAATAATTTTGTTGATTGATTGTTGATTCTTCAAAAAAAATGGTCCAACGATTAACTTGCTGAACATTCCACACCAGATATTAATTTTTAGTGAGTCCATTGCGACTTCCATAGTAGCAAAAGGATTATTATATGGTCATATCAAGACAAATATCTATAAAACTCATATAAAAGATCTCAACAATTTAAAGATTAAAATATGTCAAGAAATCGAAACAATTAGGAAAGAAATGTTGCTTAATGTTTTTTTGAAAATAGAAAAAAGGTTAAATTTTTGTATGCCAATCAAAGATGATACCTTTGATAAGTGCTTTTGAAATTTGTTCGTATAAATAAAAACTCGATGTATTTGTCTATCATTTACAGAAAAATAGTTGATAATGTCAAATGAAACAGCAAAGATAAACGAAAAACTTATCCTCAAAGGACTTTTGAGACACCCTGTATAATAGTGATAAATAAAAAAAGTTATCGAACAAAAAAGTATCATCATTGTCTCGTTCGACCAGTTTCCATCATGAGTTTTTTGAGTAACATGTAAAATAATGCCATTATTTACTTAAAAGTGAGAGAAATGAAGTTAAGACTCGTCATGCATACTTACCTTAGACTACGCAATTGGGCTCTTAATGATTGAGATGTATTCAAGATGGACTAGATAATCAGCAGCTACAACAATTTAGCAAGGATAATAATCAGGGAGGTCAATTCAATACCTATTGTTTACTTCGAAAAGATATCTAAAAAGTGAATTAATACGATGAAATTTCTTATGGAATATCACAGCAACTACCTCAAATATGTGGCGTAAAAAGACGGATGAAGTGTCGTTTCCCTAAATAGTTATGCCAAAGTTCTGAGAAATTTTTGATCACCCTATGTATATACAATTCATCATTGAAATGGCTGACGTGGCTATTCGATATTCAGGTGAGATAGATATAAAGGTGATAAGACATTTACGAGCCAACAATGCTTGATACGCTCGTTTATAATATCTTATTTAATAGCTTCTTTCAATATATTTGAGATATTCATGGACGGACGTGATGCAGATTTGTTGAGCAGGAGATCATCATATTGAAGTCTCAATTTTCTATCGAATTTCTGCGAAAAATCTCAAAATACACTACCTAAGTAGTGCTGCTCTTGAAATATTTTCTATATATCATACCTATTGAACAATTCAACCGGTAAACCTGAAAATTTCGATGAATGTGCACAACAAATAACTACATCTCTCTTCTGGCAATAATGAGAGACACTGTTATATTGCGAGACATTTGCTACTCGTGACACTTGTTGCACTGGAAGCTGAAATCGATATCTGGAGGGTGAGAATTAGGGCAGATGCAGCAATGACTCTAATTCATCCTCATCCTCACAGTGAGAAGAAAAAGGGGATCAAGAGCAATTCTTCTAATGATTGTAGCCATCAACTTAATATGTTGTGTACACATAGCTGACATTTCGTACTCATTATCTGCGCTTACCTAGTCTGCCTTACTCGAAAGATTCCTGGATAATAAAGCTTTCAACTTTCGACGACTGCGAATTAGCACAATAAAAAATAGCTATTCCATTATAATGTTTTTTTAGCAAAAATAAAATAACAATTTTTTTCACATAGTTAATACAGTTATTTGACTATGTACTATATAAATTTGTCATAGCCTACTTAATCTTCATAGGCCTGAAGCAGGTTATGATCAATAAATTGTTTCCAACTTTTGAATCCTTGCAGATAAAAAATCATAAAAATACAAATTAGTGCTTCATTTTATGGTTTTCATTTGGTATCCGTCTTAATATATGAATTATGTAAATGTAAAATCTTAAGACGTTTAAGGAAAGGTTCGCGGTTTGGTTCAGAGATCAAAACAAATAAGAAAATGATTTTTTGAAGTTTTATTTAAAACTTAAATTTCTCGATATTCATTGTATGTGTTGCAATTTTTGTTAGCTCTTATTGCGAAAATTATTCCCTTCCATTAACATTATCTGTCTCAGACGAAATTTAGAAAGATCGTGGAGCTCGGTGTATTTTTACGAACGGAAGAATTATACAATATGAAACAAATCATTTTACCACCTCAGATAAAAGCCTTTTCTTCCTTTATTTTTTTTATGCTACCATACTTTGCATCAAGTTTATTACTGAGTAGAGATATGACATGAGAGTTTTATTACAGTGTGATCTGTATACCAAAGTGAAATAAAACTTTCATGTCATATCTTTACTCAGTAATAAATTTAATGCAAAATTTGACATCACAAAAAGATAAAGAGAGAAACGATTTTTGTTCGAGGATGTATGTCTTACAAGGGAACCTATGCATAATTTTTCATATATTTAATTCCTAAGAAAGAGTCAAAGAACTGATTTTAAAATTAAA